CGATTCACATTACATTCATTACATTTTACGATTTTTAAAAAATTCGAATCAGCATTAATCACTTTGTTTACAATTGACACTAAACATTTTAAGGATTTTACGATGGTCCTTTGACTTGGCAGATTTATCATCCTTTATGTGAGGAAACATGTAAAGAATCTTCTCTTTTCTTCCATCATACTTTTGTGGTGTATTTGGAAGCATGTCTGGCTAACGTGGGGAGGTCCGGTGTTGGAATTCAAACGATGGCATCGCTGATTTTGCATATTTTCTACTCCGAAGTAAACCTAATGATTCTGAAAATGTGGGAAGTATATATTGGTGGTTTTACCATTATTTTGGTAAAAGGTTGAAAGCATAGCAGCGAAAAACTCCAAAAATTGCCATTAGCTTTGTAGAGTTCCTCACTTTGGAATTCTAAGTTAATGTTGGAAGTGAAGAATCTAAGAACTGGAAAGCGAATAATCGCTTGCGTTCGGTGACAAGAAACAACAAGATAGAAGGGTAACTAACCCTTTATTATTCAAATAAGATTTAACAAAACTCCGCCTGGGAGTGTACAAGCAAAGCCCGCACTTGGACTTGAACTTAAAAGACTAAGAATTAAACTAAAACTAAGATTAACTAAAGAAGTATAGCCGAAGCTATCAAGATTCAAAATGAGCTGGCCCCTTAACTTATTTGACTAGGAAGCTTAACAAGGGCCTGAATACGGCCGAGCGCAATAACAGCTTTGAGAGAGTACTTGCCATAAAGGCAGACGCGCGTAAATCAGAAACTCTGATTCTCTCTGACTCAGTAAGTAACTTCGTGGTTTAAATACCACTCCTCCTCATTAAATATTCAGCAAGATTCCAAAACTACGTTCTGGCCGGAAGTAGTAAGTTGAAGTTAAGAATTTGACAGGATAGGAACTTTAACTTAAAATTTAACTGTTAGTAAAATTAACATAATTCTTACAGCTTTAGCACAACTTAGAGTACAATATGTGTTTTTCTACAACTTAGAGTACAATATGTAGCGGTCACTCTTATGTTAGTTCTGAAGAGACGACTGTTAAAATGTGTAGCTTACAGAATCCCATTTCAAGAATGGCAAAAAACCAAACTAAACTGCTTTCTGCATTCACATGTAAGCTTACAAGATGCTTTGTTTAACCTAAGAGTCATCCTAAGAATTTTATTGATGATTCCAAAATCAGTATCTGCAGAACAGAATAAGTTCTAAACTGAATAAATGGACAGAAACTTGTTTGAAGTTATATTTAAATCAATAAATGTTGAATTTTCTTGCATTTCTGCCTACAGAAAACGGTATTTCTCAAGTACGATGAACATCACAGACGATCATGCATTACCGAATACACGTAGTTTTATAATAAGGTTTTGCATTTATAACAGATAACAAATATTATGTATTTTAAATTAACTAATTAACTAAAAAATATATTATTATTTGAAACATAATATGAATAATTTATACGGGGTGCCATGAAATATTAATCTGCGTAATTCATGCGGGACGCTAAGTGTAGTGATTGTCTAAGAGACCAAAAATACCGGAGGAGCTGGATAACATGAAAATCCTGGTTTGCCTCTCAAACATAAATCTTTCTTAAAAGTGACCTGCATTTTATGTTGCTTAGCTATAGACGCTGAAAACAAGAAATTTTCAAGAGCAGAGTTTTTTTACATTTTCCTAACATAAATAAAATTTCACCTTTAAAAACAAATTCGGCATAAAAAATTGTGTAAACAGAATCCCAAAAGAGTGCATTTAGAAATTTTTATTAATTAAATAAATTTTATGAACATGAATATTTTGAATAATTTTAAAGTTAGGTTGGAATTTTATCAGACTATTTTAAGCAACTTTGCATCAGACTTGTCATGTTCAGTTTACTGTTAGCTTCTCTGTTATAAAATTTTAATTCATTGCTCTAGATTTTAAACGGGCCAAAGCCGTGCTTAACTTTCAACATTTATCAGTGTACTGTGGGTTTTATTCGGTTTGGAACCAATAACTCCATCAAACGTGACGCGAATTATCGCTAGATCTGAAGTAACTACAAGTAATGATAAAGATTTAATTGCCCCTATTTACTTCCTTGTACGAAGTAAAAAGGAAGTATTGTAATCGCGAAAAGTTTCAGGCAGCATATTTCAACGAAAATATCCATTTTGCCCGCTATCGAATGCAATTTAATGATGTTTTTGCGTGATAGCTGTACGTAAGGACAGAATAAAACACTCGTTTCCTCCAAAAAAATTCTAAAACTGCTTTAAAATTAATTCTGAAGAGAATTTTTCGTGGCGTCTGTACGAACGTATGTACGTACGTGCGTACGTATGTATCTCGCATAACTCAAAAACGAGTAGCCTCAGAACGGTGAAATTTTGTGTATAGGACTGCTATAACATGTAGTTGTGCACCTCGTATTTGGTTGCAATTGGCCGCAATACACTCTGTTACCCGGCTCAGTGATCTCAGTTTCTTTACTCTTATATGTTTGTAAACTGTACATGTTTTGCTTAAAAAATTATTGTATTATGTTGTTTTTATCTTCTGGTTAAGGTTTAATGCCTTTAGTAAATCTGTATGCAATATTTTTAGAATTATCAAGTTGTTTAAGTGCCGCTAAGACATTTTTTTTTTTTTTTTTTTTTTTTTTTTTGTGTGTGTGTGTGTGTGTGTGTGTGGCGGCCATTTACATTTAAAGCAGCAAACTAGTGGATTTGTTGCCAATCTAGAGAAACTTAGCTTCGCAACAACAAAGATAACGTCTTCATTTATTATTGCCAATTAAATCATGCTTAAGCCTTTCTGGAATTTTTTCGAGGAAATAAGTGTTTAAGATTTACTTCGTAATTTTTAATATAGATATTTTGAGTTTTATGTATGTTTGCCTTCACGCGAAGTGAGAACTGAATTAATTGAAAGAGAATCATCATACTCAATCATCTGTGAAAAACTGTTTTTTTTTTTTTTTTTTTTTTTTTGTTTGCTTAATTTCCTTTATACATCATACTAGCTTTATTATAGTATTTGAATAGAACATGTGGCAACGATTAATTAATTCTATTCTTTAAATGATATAAATTTTAGGCATTATGAGTTATAATATGAACGAAATATAATACTGTTTAGTGAATCTAGGTGCCAGAGTGTCGGAATACATTTATTCTATTGCGGTTTATGCGCTGTCGGCGAAGTAGATTTAATTCAATCCAATAAGTATAAATGAAATGCAAGAAAAAAGGCATAAAATTTAATATTCCGTACAAGAAAGTCATGTGGTGTACACATCAGGTTTTATTAAACAGAAATCAGAATATAAATGTTATATCCTTGTGCTAACAATATCAGCTACAACTCGTGGTGAGGCAGATAAACAGAAACAGCCAAATTTAACTTGTAACCGTAGTCAAAGATTGCGCAACTTAAATCTCACTCGCAGCTAGCTCAGCTCTACCCGAGTTTCGAAATCAACATGTAGGCAACGATATAATTCAAAGTCATAATACGCATTACGCAGAGTCAGTTGCATAACGCAAAGTCATAATTACAAGTATCAAACTGTAGGGAACTAAAAGCAGTATGCAAGCACAGCTAGAAACACGCTCTGTCTTAAAATCCAAAGATCTAAGTTTAAATACTGGCTAAATCGTTTACATTCTGATGAGGGAAACGAAAGGAGAAGTTTAATCCTTTGCGGCACACCTAAAAATTTCCTTCTGCACGCACAGAAAAATTGAATGAAAATAGATTTATTGGTCACTATAGGTTACTCTGAACCTTCTTTCTTTATAGTAGATGGCAGCTCAACACACACCAGTCCATATATTTTAGCTATGTTTTGTTTTTTAAGACCCTCATTTTTCAAAGAAATCTTCCAGATATTTTTAGGGTATAAAAGGAATTGTTTGAAAAGAAATTCCTATGTTATTTTTTGGCTGTAAGCTAATCTACTTATTCTATATTAGTTTTAAATTTTTACCTTGAAATCTTGCCACAAATCAAACGGCGAACCCTAGGTGGGCCCAGACCGGGCTCACGGATAATCTAGGACAACTGAGAATCTATTCTTTGTTTGTCCGCATCTGATCGGTCAGTTCATTGACAACAATGCTCGTTTCAGTACTTTTTTCGAAGCTCTATTCAATCAGTGTGCCCCTTAGGGCACACTCACAGAATTAAAACGATAAGTGCTATCTTCACAAAATTTTACTTGTGTACTCCTCTAGGCCTAATTAGACTGCCTACCTTTTTTTTAATCAGAACTCCGACTTTAAAAGGTAGCGTGCCGGAAAGGGTTAAATAAAGATTCAAGTCGAAATAACTAGTTAGTTTCAAATAGGAGTCCTAAATATTTTCCTATATATTATATTTTGCTTTCTTGATATAGAATGTATTTAGTAACCATTTTCAAAAACAATTAATGCAAAACATTCCTGGTTCTTTTAATACACTTGAAAAGAATACATACTATTTTGTGGCTAATTACTTCTATCTTTGAATTAATTCACACTTTTTTCTACCTTTTCTTAGGTTCAGAAGTGCCGCAAGAACTTTTCCAAGTGCCGCAACAGAGTTTATGAACATGTGAGAAGATTATGAACTTCGGAAACGAACAAAGGATCACATGTATAATTCAAGTATACATATTCAAATGTATTACGTGATTTTTTAAAAATATGAATTAACACATTATGCTGATTTAGGGGAAGAAAAATGTCATGTTTGAATAAGAGATCAGAATTTGCTAAGGATGTAGCATTACATGCTTTCAAAATGATTTGTTAGCTTATATTTATTTAGCAATATTTTATTCTATTTTCTTCATAGTGTTTTTAGTAATGCTGAGAAATATAAAGCTTGTATGAATATTTTAAAACTTTTTTGCAGTGTATAGTTTCTGAGTAATAACTATTAACTGAAGTCAAATTAATTAAAGGAAATTTGTCACTAAATTTCAAAGAGCAGAATATGCAAATATTGTCATGAAATTTCCTAGTTTTCTTCGAATTGCTATTGTCCCTAAGTTAGGAACATTTGAAGTTAATATCTCTTCTAAAGGTGATGTCAAGATAACTGGTGGTGTGGAAGGAAAATTTGTGGAACTTCTGTCTGCAGGTCTACAGTTTCGGTACAAACTTCTCATTCCGACCGATAAAGAATGGGGTCGCTTGAAAGAAGACGGTTCCTGGACCGGGGCTGTTGGAATGGTGCATCGGGGTGAAGCTGATCTTGCAGTTAGCAAAATTTCAATCACAGAACAGAAGTCTACTGTTGTGGGGTTCAGTTATCCATACAGTATCGAAACTCTCACTTTTGCTACAGGTGCTCCAGGAGTTATCCCAAAAACGTCTGCGATTTTTTACCCATTTTCGTTTCAAACGTGGATTTGTCTGGCACTCCTTCTTATTGCAATACCCATGTTATTCTGCAAATTTATGAAGAAAAAATATTCCATTGTTTCACTTGCATTTAGAGTATACGGAACTCTGTTGCATCAGGAACTACTTCTCAAGGTCAAAGCAGTGAGTGATAAATTATTATTGGGCTCATGGCTGTGGGGAGCCATGATCTTATCTCTCTGTTATACTACTCTTCTATTATCATTTTTAACTGTACCCGTTAAAGAAAAAGGTGTGCAAACCATAGACGAATTGGCAGCAGCTGCTTCTCGTGGTCTTTATAAATGTATGACATACCAAGGATCATCAACTATATGGATACTTCAGAATAGCAAAACAGATTCAGTCCGATCAATCGGAGAATCCATTCTGAAAAATAACGGCTTAATTAAACTTAATAGTAATCTCCTACCTTCTCAGATTTTGACGAGTAAACGCGTCGCTCTGATAGGTCCAGAAAATGATTTCAGAATTGTTTCGGAAGATCAAATTTTCATTTCTAAAGATTCATTCGCTCTGATGTTTTGGTCCATTGTTATACCCAAAAATTTCTGCTGTAAACGCAAGCTGGATAGTTTTGTTCATAAAGTTTATGCTGCAAGTCTTTATGATAAAATTTTAAACGATAATTTATTTCGTGCCAGATTAAAATATGCTAGAAATAAACCCTCAGAACAACGTTTGCAGCTGTCTCTAGACGACATATCTGGAGCATTTATCTTTCTAATTTCTGGCTATTTATTAGCTTCCTTTGCATTGATTTTCGAATTTTGCTACAAAAAAACATTCGTAGTAAAGAAACAATTAAAATGTGCTTAAACTTTTTAACAAGCAGTTCCTTTTTTTTTTTTTTTTTTTTTTTTTTTTTTTTTTTTTTTTCATAATTTGAGCCAAATTTCAACCATTTTGTTTTTTGGATTGCTGATAATAAATAAAATTTAAAAATAAGTATTATAAATAAATAAAAATTAAAAGTAAAATTCACTAAAATTTAAATTAAGGGAATTTCTAGGATTTAAAGTTTTCTGCGTATTTGAAGTATTTTATTTTTAATGCATTTTACAATCAATGTATTCAATAATAAAAATAATACCTTCGACATTAATAAATAGAATAAAATTATAATTTTACTTAATATTGCTGAATATTCTGTTTTATTCTCTTTTGAGAGATACACTCATAAACTTCGAAATTCTATCAGAAATTTTAAAATATATTCACAAAATATGTAAAGGTTAATTTAATAAAGTTCATTAATTTTGTTACGTAGAAATACTAAAAATTTTTAAATTATCATAAAATTACAAAATAAATCCGTATATTGTCCAAACAGAATTTTTTTCTGTCAGGAAAATTCCTGTAAACTAGAAACTATTATACTCTGAACTTAGAATTAATCTTGGCTATAAATATTTTCATCTGATTTTATATATCTACCAGTTTCATAAATAAAATATTCATGAAACAAATAGTGAAAGGAATTCTGTAGATGCACAAATTTTACAAGTTTTAAAAAAATAAAATGTATATAGTTTTATTCTTGTATTAAAAATCTTAAAAAAAAAGTAAAAATAAAAAAACCTAACTCACTTCATAATAGACGAAAATATGTTTTTCAATACATCTGTATTTAAATACATATATATTTTATAAAATAGAGGAAATCCAAAATGCGCTAATAAAACTTTCACAGTAGTCCTACAAGCAGGGAAGAAAGTGCCGTAGAGTTCCTACCAGTGGCGTAAACTGGTGTGCAAAAATTAAGGACGAGACGGTTTTTTCAATATAACTTTGCACAAAAGCTTTACAAATCAACACATTTAATACCGTAAGATCCCCAATACGTAAGGACATGAGTAATGTAAGCAACACTTACTAAAAGAGAAATCAGAGGGATAAAAAGAAGCTTTATTGAAAAAGTAGCATGGAGCGCAATGCGACTGAAGGCCGAAACATCCCTATGATGGGTGTCCAGCAAGAAACATCCGGTCTTTAATAGGGGACATGATCCCCTGACTGCTAGGCAGGTTTCACATGAAAATGAATGAGGTGTCAATGAGTTGTTGAGGCATTGTTGCCCATTCGTCTTGCAGCGCCAATCGAAGCTCCGGAATCGTTACTGGTGGTAAGGTACGAGCTGCCAAGCGTCTGCCTAGAAAAACCCATACATGCTCGATGGGATTGAGATCCGGAGATCGTGCCGGCCAATTCATACGTTCAATATCCTCACTCTCTAAGAGCTGTTCGGCAGCTACTGTGCGATGACATGGTGCATCGTCGTCCATGAAAAGGAACTGCGGACCCATAGCGCCTCTAAAAAGACGCACATATGGAAGAAGAATCTCGTTACAATAACGGGTCCCGTTGACTGAACCTGCGTCGAAGATGTGAAGGTCTGTACGACTACCAAGCATGATGCCTACCCAAACGAGAACACCGCCACCTCCATACCTGTCCCTTTCAGTGATGTTCGAGGATGATTGCGGCTTCCCCGCTCTCTCCAGATGAGTATGCGATGAGAATCGCTACTCAGACTGAATCTGCTCTCATCTGTAAAGAGTACTCGTCCCCATTCATTGTCTCTCCAATTCCGGTGTTCCCGGCACCACAGAGAACGCCTTCTCCGATGGGCAGGCGTTAGAGGTACACACCGTACAGGGCGTCGTGCAAACAGACCACCACCGTGCAGTCTTCTGGCCACGGTAAAACGCGATATCGGTCGTCCAGTCGCCTGTGTCGTGTGTCTAGCTATTTCTCCCGCTGTCTGCCGCCTGTTTCTTCTGGCCTGTAAGGCAATATACCGGTCATCAGCGGGTGTGGTTCCTCGTGGATGACCACTACTAAACCCCCGGATAGCTGTTCCTGTAGTTTGAAATTGTCTCCAAAGTCGTGAAACGATGCTGTGAGCAATTCCGAACTCTGCAGCCACACTTGTCACACTGCGGCCTTCCTCCAACTTCTCAATGATTCGACCTCGGGTAAAAGCATCCAGATGTCGTCTAACAGATTGATTATTAGCCATTTCTCGCTGAGGCAGCAACTCGGTGTGATTTTAACTGCTACACGGCGTGCAATCTCTTTGCCATAAATACTGATCTTACACCGACAACATGCTTTATACTACTCAGACACTCCCCCATTATGTCTACCTGCATATCTGCGCATGTGCTACCGCACATCACCTTACTTAATCTCCTGATTGGTCTTTCTGTCCGCTCTGCCTCTTCATTCAGGTGATATGCTAATTTTTCGACTTCGTCCTTAATTTTTGCACACCAGTGTAGAACACAGGGCAGGAGAAATTGCCAGAAACGTACTACAAGCAAGGCAGAAAGTGCTATAAACACTTCGAAACACAGAAGAAATTGCCATGAGAACGAACTGCCATAGAAATCTCACAAACATCGAATAAACTACCATGGAAAATTTGGAAGCAAATTTATAAGCATTAAATTTAAGAACATTCACCTTTCACGAAATAGAAGGTGAAGTAATTGAGTGAATTATCATAGGAATTATGTCCACCAGAAAAATAAATAATGATATAACATCTGAAAATGATTTTGTTGAGGAGCCCATTGTTATTATACTGATAAACTTCAGTGCTATGGCTAATATTAAGCTGGTGATTCATTTGGATAAGATAAAAAGTAATTAATCTTCTTGTCACTTGTCGGAAATTCCGAGTTTTTCTGTTTTATTTATTTCTAAAGCTAACAATTAGACTATTAATTAACTTTCTAATTATCTGGCTCTATTATTTTAAATAATTACAATTATAATATCCTAGCTCTCCATGTTATGGCATTCTTTTATTTTGATGGAAATGGCAACAATATTATCTAAATTCCAATATTTCTTTAAATGATGTGAAATATAATTTTAAAGAAAAATTGAAAAATAAAGAAATTTTTTTTAAATATGTAAGAATGTAATTTTTTTATATGCAAGATAAATATAATTTAAACTAACGGTAAACCTTAAATTCTTCCTCCCTGTTCTAAAAATCGTAATAGCTTCTCTGGATTCTTTAAACATTAAACATTCTTTAAACAATTTTTAAACATTAAACAAAATATAACGAAGAAAGCAAGCAAAAAATAAAGCCAAGCAATTTTTAAGCATCACCAAAATGCAAAAATAAAAAAAGTGGCACACGATAATTTTATTTATGAAATTTTACGAAAATGTTTCGGTGTACGATCACTTTTGTGCCGTGTCTTATCTATGCCTCCTTACATTTTCAACTTTAGAAAACAAAAATAATTCAGTATTAAAAATTAAAAAATTTTCTTTTATTCAAAGTTACATGGAAAAAATATGAAAAAACTATTGGGCTTTATATTTGCATTTAATTCAGGTTTACAGCACTTTTTCTGCAAATTCTGAAAGCGTGCTAACACTTTTGTGCGACAGATTCGATATTTGTCATTATCTGAACGTTCCTTCCAAGTACTCATAGTATAGCATAGTAAAGTTTATATTTATTGCATGCTACATGTTGTATATTTATTACCTGTTCAATAATGTTGCATTTTATGTCTAAAACTATAGAACTGTATGATACCTGCCATTTTCTGTTAAACAGAATCTGAAACGAAATTATACTGTTAGCTTATTTTTGTATGTTATTACTTGAGAATGTTAGTTTTGATTTGATTTTATAACATGCAAAAATTAAATATAAGCGGTACTGTGAACTGTATTTATTACGTGTTATGTAAAGTATGCATTTTCAGTCTAAAACTGTAGAAAAGTATGGCATTTGCATTTTCTGGATCAATCAAATTGAATATGAAACAAAATCAGTCGAAGATCTTATTTTTGTATGTTGTTACTTCAGTTATATAATGTGAATTTGGATTTAATTTTATAACTGATGTAAAAATGGGATTTATATGGTGCTGCGAATTATATTTATTGCATATTATGTAAAGTTTGCATTTTCAGTCTTAAATTGTAGAAAAGTACGACATCTGCATTTTCTGTATCAGTCAAATAGAATCTGGAAAGAAATTATTCTGATATCTTATTTTTGCATGTTGTTACTTCATTTCCGGATTTAATTTTATGTATGTCAGTTTGGATTTGATTTTATAACTGATGCCAAAATAGGATTTATGCGGTACTCTGAACATTATTGCAGTATTTTAATTTGTCTTACTTGGAATTACGTTTCAAGTTACTAACAAATTAAGCATTTCTTAAAGGATTTCGAATCTTGTAAGGGGACTCATAGACCTTAAAACCCATAAGATCTTCGAATAGGTAACTGTTGCAAGACCTGGGATAACTTATTTATTTTAAAAGCAATTACTTCCAACTTTTTACAGCTGACTACATAATATAGCTGCTTTCTGAAATAGTCATCAGAAAGTTTGTATTGCCACAAATATTTTTATAATTTAATCCGCTTTGTGACACCATTTTTCGTCATGTTTCCACCTTGCGCGCACAGTTTAAAATATTCTGTCGCATAATTTAATTCCATATTTAATATATAGCTTTTATAACATTTGGAAACTACTGTTAACCTAAAATTCTAAAAATTTCTTATTAAATTTTTATTTTATTTGGAGTTGAGGCTATTAAAATGTATTTTATTAAAAAAATTTGTAATGTTTTCGTCCATAAAATTTTTCATTATTAAAATATTTATCATACTTTTGGTTCAGTTAGAAAATAGTGCCCATATAAAGAATTCCATCAAATTTCAAGTATGTACCATTAGCCATTTTTAAAATATCATGCGCGCAAGGTGGAAACATGGCGAAATATTTTGTGACAAAGAGGATTAAATTACAAAAATATTTGTGGCA